CAATTTGACTTCTGTTCATAGCTAAATACCACATTCTACATAGCCCTGTAAAACACATAGATGGTCAGATACAGAGCTAGTTCTCTGGATACATGATTCTATAACTCCATTTCTGCCTGCATGATTTGTTGATGACTAATTCTGACACAAGTACAATAGATCTGAGCCAATAATATTTTTTTACATTGGTGATCTTTAGTAATAAAAATAGCCTCTTGCAAGGAGCCACATAAGATTGAAGAGACACATCACTTATTTAATGCTGGGCAGTAGATAATGTGAAATTCAGGATGTGAGATACTCATTTTCAATTACAGTTTGCAGTGCGTATCAGACCAAGTTACCCCAACCAGCACAGAGTGCAAATTTTGTTTTGCTGCACTGCCAGCAGTCACTGTACCATGGCAGTAGTAAAAAGGTGACATTTCGGAGAAAGAACAGTTGGCATATCTGCTGTTATGTGCTGCACGCATCTTGGGAAAGGCAGCAATAGTTTAGTTAGGGCTTATTCAGATGCTGGCCTATAGAAACAGCTATGGAAATGCACTGAAGTAGTGCATCTTCTGGTACTGTATTCACACAGTCCCAGAGTGGTATTATTCATTTTTTCAGCTCCAGTAGTGCCCTTCAGATTTGAAAACAGAAGGAAAGTTGTTGCAGTTTTACATGTTTTCATTTCTATCCAGCTGCCTTTCTGCAATTAGTGACAGTGGGGAACAGTCTAAAACCCAGCAATGACAAAACAAACCAGGGTGATGGTGGACAATAAATAATTTTCAATATACTGTAGAGGACAAAAATCGCTGATTCAGCTTGTATAGACGAAGCCTTTAAAGAGCTAAGAAAGCCATAGTCCCTCAGGTATGCATCTGGTGTCACTATTTTTTGGAATATTTCTTGACTTCAGGTCACCAGAATAAAACACAAACTTTTTGAGTACAGGCTACCTAAAAAAAACCAATTAAAATCCTTAGAAGATGTAGGAACTTATACATGAAGAAAGATTATATGAATACTTTTGAAAAGGCAAGACTTCATCTTACAAATATTTGAATTTCATACACATCAAGAAAAGATTGATACCATGGGGCTATAATGATGAGTGAAGGGATGAAATTTAAAAAAGAATACACGAGACTGAAATTAGGGAAATACTCCTTGCTGTTCTGGTCTTTCAGTTTGACTGAAGGAACAGTCACCTAGGACTTCCAAAACTAGAGGAGATAAACTTTGGAAAACTTAGTAGAGGACAAGTTACACCACTGAGATCTGAACAACTAAACAGTCCCTTCTCTATTCTTACTTGTATTATAATATTTCTATAAAGAAGCATCCTACTTAGATGCTAAAAGGGGAAGATTTCGCCTTTAACAAGCCAGTGTGATCTTTATAGAACCCATTAATAGGAAATAAACCCATTTATCAGGGGACATAATGCTAAATATGCTTTAAAGGAAAGTTTAAATGGCTGTCTGAGGACTGCTGTGTAACCAGAAAATCATCAAGAATGGAGCACATTTGAAGCCTAGGCCTGTGAGAGGAGCAGAACATACTTTTGTCAGTGCTTCAGAATATGATGTCTAGTCAAAACTCAAGAACCTTAAGCATCATTATACAATATCCTGGAACACGATACCATTTTCCAAACATTTGGTCACAGGCATCTCCATCAACAATTGGCTCCAGAAAGTAATACTTACAATGCCTGGGTTGAGGTGGTAGTTTTGTTGGTCATTATAACTTTTTTTTTTCTCCACGAAGAACAAGAAAATGAAAAAATATAATAAATGATAAAATTACAACTTTGTGCGTGAGCAAAACCAAGAGATTTCAGTGTCATACCAAGCAAGAGACAATACTTTATGTTATTGTCAAAGTTACTGCATTTATTCATCAAAATTATACTATTATTTTAATAAATGAATAAAACACAATATTTATTTGTTTGTTTGTTTGTTTGTTTGTTTGTTTGTTTATTTAAAGCAAATGGAGGTTTTGTTTAATTAAATTTTATTTTGGTTCGAAGAGATCTGCAAGATAAAAAAAATATCCTAAACATTTTAGAGAACAACTGTTGAAGTTAGTGTTTACACATCTTTCATGTTAGATTTTGGGAAAAATTCTCTGATGATGGATGGTATAAAGATAATTTCTCTTAACACTGTAGGCTGGTATTAGCAGTTTGTTTTTATAGTACCGAAGAATTTGTTTGAGCTCCAAAGCTCCAAATATGAAGCTTATTACAAAGCCATAATTTCAATTTTGATCTTCTTCAGAGAAGTGAGCTCTGTTAAGTACTAAAGACTGTAATTGCTGTAATATTTGAAACTTCAGAGATTTGCAAAGGTTCCTCCTCCCACAGGCTGTGGCTATATTTGTCAACCCAAGGAAGACTGTAGGGTGAAACCTGAGGAGTGCTGATCCCATGTATCTCCTGCTGACATCAGTAAGAGCTTAGCACCTATCAGCATCAAAGAGTTTTGTTACTGCAGCTGACTCTCAATAATGCAAAACAATTAAAAATAATAGCAAATGGAACAAAACCCAAATAATGCAACAGATTCTGGGAAAGTTTTTGAGGATACTCTAAAATTCAGAATGATCTTAGTTTTATAAGTCAGCCTTTCGTTGTGACAAGACTGTATCAATAAAACATGATACTGAATTAAATTCAAAATCAAAACGGAAGTAAACTGTATAATGGTGAGGGTTTAAAAAGACTGGCTGTGATCTATATAAAACTTAATGCAAAGTCAATTTGAAGTAACACTATGATAGGAATCAGCATTGTCTCTTATGTCAGTACTTTTACATTTAAGTGATGTATGCATCCATGGTGAACATTTAGGCTTTTACTTACTATCTACCACATATCTATTTGCTCTTTGACATGGAATGTTTTTTTTTACCTGTGTCTGTAGGACTATACACAATGGAGATGCTGAACCATAAGTGAAACTCCAGTAAAACACATAAAGACTAATAAATAGCATTATTTACACTATTGAGACTATAGGCCCACCTATGCTTTTCTAAGGATTCTAGGCTCGTGTCAAAACTAATTAATGTGAATTTGTCAAATCTTGGGGGTTTTGTGCCATACTGCTTCTTGTCCTTAGCAAGAGATTCATTACTGTGATCTGGTGTGTTTATTAGCTTTATCTGAGTGTTCTCTATTTACTTTGGGAGAAGCTGATTGAATATCACTCACCTCTTTTAGAGTTGGCAGCAAGGCTTGGCATATTTGCACTTGCTTGTGCCTGGAGTCAGTGTAGCTCAGACTTTGTTTTAGTCATATACTATGCTTTGATATCTTTTTAGATGCACCTATGCAGAAGTCCTAAATTTGTTTGTCCTCAGGAGAGTCAGAAGTCCAGAAGCCCTGCAGACAAGAAATAACAACAGAGACATTTTCTAGTTATGATAAAGACATAGCTAAGCCTGACTATAATTGGAATCAGAGTTGCAATACCACATTAAAATTAAAGTATGAAAATTAATCACAGGAAGTCCAGGAAAAAAGATCAGACCTCTAAACTATGATGGAGTAAGCCAGATTTTGCCACAGGGCATAAACATCAACCTGCACTTTCCTTTGAAAGCTAGTGCAGATACCAGGGCTAACAATAACTCAGCTTTTCAACTGTACAGTAGCCAATGTATAAAAATCAGCCAAGTTCTCTCTGAAGTGGACTGTGTCTCATCTTTACTGCCAGCTATACTTTCAGCCTTTAAAATGTTCAGAATGCATTGTTATGGAGAAAATCACTGAAGCATGAGCTGGCATATGAGCTTTTAAAGTTCTGTTCATTATTTTCCAGTCCTGGCTGCTGCTTTTCCTTCTCAGAAAGGCAACCTATCTTCTCTGTCACTATCTTGTAATAGTCAGCCTTCCATGCCCTCTTCTTCCTTATTTCCCTCGTTCCTCCCACTTTCTTTTCTGTCTGCTGAGACATCTTCGAAGACAGGACTATGTGTTCATGTAAAAATTGTGCCAAAAGTTGCAGAGAAGTACACTGGCTTGAAGATGTGCAGCTTCAAGTGTACTGCGATGTCCACCTAACTGGACATCCATATTTGCCAGCAGTATAGAATAGAATTCTATTTTGTTCCTGTACCTTACAAACATAAAAAGTTGATTTGGGAGATAATTAATTATGGGGGTTTGGGTTTTGTTTGGTTGGTTGGTTTGGTGGGTTCGTTTTTGGGGGTTTTTTTGTTTGTTTTGTGTGTGTGTGTGTGTTGGGGTTTTTTTAATTTAATCATATTGTGGAATTGCAATGACACCCAGATAATTTTCATAAGATTTCTGTCTTAGGCTGCACAATCCCTCCCAGAGGGACCAGTGATACAACAGGACTTGAGCTATAGCCCAATTTATAGTAAACATAGTTCTGAGAAAGTTCCTCTGTGCCTGCAAGAAATTACTCATAATGAATTAAAATATGCTATTCATTTGCATGCAGCTACTATGTGCCATCAGCTGTCTGGCACTACATGGCTGAGTAAAGCCTACCCGTGTAGATAAGTCATTGATAGCATCACTTTCCTGGGAAGAGTCAGACTTGTTCATGTAGCTATCTGTAGCCTGTGTGAAAATTATTCCTTTTTATACTATTTTGTGAAGCCAAGAATTTATGTAATTTGAATTATTATTTTTTTAGGTCTTGTTGTTAATTTGTAGTATATAAGCCATTTCCTCATAGTTTCAGCATATTGATGTAATATGCTGAAACCCAGTTATTGTGTCACTTGTATCTCTTTCCATGTCTGTAGCCAAGAGATATAACAAATATGTATGGCTCCTTACTCAATATATCAGTGCAAACATAAATTTAGCTCTGCTAAATTAGTAAGAATGACTAATCATTCATCTGGTTCATTGATCGAATACATTTTCTTTGTTGAAAGCCTCTTCTCACAATCATTACCTGTTTTAATAAGATATATAGTGACAATCCTGAAATTTCCTCAATCTAAGAGAACTTTGCACGTTTTAGGAAAACTTTTCAGGTCAGTGGGATTCCAGCGAGAGCCACAGTCTTTCCATGAGGGTAAGTAGAATTCATCCCAAAGTAATAATGGTATAAATATTTAAAAGTGTCTGTGACACTCTCAATTTCAAGATGGACATTATTTGAGATAATTTGCCAAAGGACTTCACCATCAAATCTGGAGGATGGAGAGGTGATTTGAAATCAATATATGCAATATACAGTGCAAGTTGTTGCATTATTTGTTGCACTGTTTGTGAAATAACATTTTTCAGCATTTTTTCAAATCAGGGAAAAGTCTTTATAGTCGTCTAAATTTCATTACCTCTGAGATGGATACTTACTAAAGGATGATGCTGAACTAGAAGCACTGGGATCATTTAAACTTAAATCTATGACTTACCAAAGAAAAATAAACACAGCAATCAACTGGATTGTGTAAATATACTGTTCTAATAACAATTTTTGTCTGCTCTGAATTGGGCCAAAACTTGAAGGCAACTTGAAGGAATTGGAGGAATGCAGTTCAGTTAGCCATATCAAAAAGATCCCAGGCGCATTGTAATTTAAAACAGCTCTCATGGTATTTGCCATAGTTTCACAGCAGTTGCACAGATAAGAGCTAGATAATTTTTGAATGTGTAGTTCACACAAAAGAGCAATTTCAAAGTCCTTTACCAAAAGTTGTGAGAACATTGTTCATATAAAGTAACTGGACATACACAAGAGAATTAAATATTCCAGGCTGTTCTGTTCTACAGATGACATGAGCCAAGGTCTCCTTTCCCTGATCTTGATGGGCTGCTCAGGTAAATGATAAAGATCTAATGAATTAAAGACTAATAGCTAACAGATGTACAGGCGCTATCCACTCAATTAATGCCGCTGTACATTATGTGGAACTAATGCAAATTACTGTGTGCAGAATGTTTACAGATTGAAACTGGGCTTAGCAACTCAGTGAGAAACCTCAGTGGAAGTTTTTCCGGTATATTAGGGAAAGTGCTGTGAAGAAAGTAGTAGGGTACAATCACTGTGGCGTTTATTCATGACCTTTAGGTTCTAATTAGGTCTTCTTACTTAAGAAATTTTTAATCAGTATGAGTCAGTTAAGGCTGCATTTTATCACTGCTTTTAAACAGGTAAGATAATACTGAATTTTTCTACAGTTAAAAAACTATAAACCCAGAAAATTAGTATTGCTGATGAAATGATCTTCTGTCTCAAAAGACTTATTTAATTAAGTATATCTAAAAATAGACATATGAACTCTGGCATTTTAAAAACTCATACGCTAGTGCCAAATGTCAGGTTTTTCAGGCTGCTAAATTTTTTTTTCATTCACTCCTCAAAAAAAATGATTTGTCAAAATATCACAACATATTTCTTCTGATAATCAAAGGAGTTCAGGCCCAAACAAACATTTAAAGGGAACTCAATGATAAGTTGCAACTGAAATTAGTCTTAATATACTCGATAGTTTAGTCATCGACCAGTAATCTCTTTCATATAAATATGCATGCTAGATTAGAAATCTTCTCAATTTATTTTTTTTCATAGTAGGTTGAATAGGTTGAACACATTAATCGTTGAGTTTGACCAGTGTTTAACAATTGCCTGTATCCAGCTCAAACACTTAAGCTGATTCTTAAGATGAAGAAATGAGAAATATTGGTAGTTAAAAGAGGAACAGTGAGCAAAAGAAGTGCACTTCACCTCACGCTCAGAAGTTAGACGTGATATGTACAAGACAGTCAGAAGTGATAGAATCAGTAGCAGAAATCAGTACAAATTTGATGTAAGTTTGTATTTATACCACACACATGGTATCACAGGAACAAGTATCATGATATTTAGACACTGTGTTTAAGCACTCCCATTTATAATGCCTTTGGTAAAAATGCTTTTCACATGCAATAATCAAAGCCAGCAAGGTAAGCAGGTTATTATTCTTTCTGACTAAAAATATATACCTACTGAAAGACTCTTTGCTTACCTACTCTTTAAGGGAGTCAAAGTCCATTTTTACGTGCTTTTAAGTGTGAAAATAATTTATTTCATCCTCAGCATAAAGAGAGATACATCTGTTTAGTAGTATTAATGAGCAACTTGTAGGGAATAAAAAAAAAAAGATTTACTCCATTTTGTATATCAGTTATGAAATTAAGTTTGATCATTAAAATTACCACCCAGTCATTTGTGTTAAATACAGTATTTTAATAATTACTATTTTGGGTCTTGAAACAGCTAGTTTTTTGGAGACTTCCACTCTGAATTCAGGATTTAACAGTAGTATTGGGCTACTATGAACTGAAATAAAAGCAAAAAAAACCCTACAGTAATAATCTGCTACAATATCAAACCTGCTGCAGTGTTTATAATTCCATTTGATCTCTGGTAAGAAGTGTGTTAAATTTTTATATAACATAGCCAGGAACTCCTGAAGCCTTTGCCAGAATTGTAGAGGGGAACATCCACTTGAGGTTTGGGCTGCCTGCAATCAAGTAATTAGCTTAACTGCATAGCAGATATTCTGGGATGAGGTTATTTATGACCTAATTGATAGCCTGCACTGGTTAACCATAGGAAAGAGAAAGAGATAATCTAATGGAAGAAAAAGCTACCCTTAACATGGAACTATCAGAGCAATGAAATTACTTGGTTTGCATATTTTCAATCTTCTTGAATGTATGGTTCCTTTGCTGGGAGAAGTTTAACCACTGTGTGCTGAGAAAATATTATTTTTTTAAAAACAATTATTTTGTGTCAGCATCCAAGATTCTCTTGTAGTACATTGTTTAACAATGTTTAACTACATTCTGCTTTTAAACATTATAAACAGCCTTTCACACCTGATCTAACAGTTGTCCTGATTCAAATTCTTTTTCGTCCTCAAATGTCTGTCAGTATGTTTAATATAAGAGATATCAAAATGTTTGTAGTTAGGGTCAGTTCAGGATCCTAAACGAGTTCTAACTTTGCTCTTCCAAAGCTTCTTGTGTTCTGGTTTCTTGTCTGTAAAATAAAAGTAGTGACAAATTATTTCCTGTCAGTGCAGTTCTGGAAATAAGCAAAACAAGGTCTATGAGCATTCAAAATAAAAGGATCTTTGGATTAGCTGGGTAAATCTACTATTCATCTATAATATTTATTTGCATTTATAATAATTTATAATAAGTATTCTTTAAGCACTTTGAGAGTCAAATTAAAACATTACTATTATCAATAGGTGTCATTCACAGTTTTCAAACAAAGAAACAACAAAGCTCGTTTTTATGTAACTATTTTCACTTAGATATAATATACATCCTTGTATACTTGACACCTGTTGTCTTCCAGTTTCCTTGACTGTAAAGGTCAGCAGCAGCATAAACTGAACCATAAGTACTGAGATTTAAAGCTGGGTAAGTAGAATTGTTGACAGTTAAAAGAGCTTAAAATAGCCTACTATCACTTCTGGTAGCTGTGTAACAAACATACAGAGTATTTCCTCTGCTCTACTTCTCAGCTGAACCCAAGCTGAACCCCTTTTTTGATACAATCAGTTGATCAAAGATGAACAGCTAAAATGAAAGCAGTTTTTCAAAGGAGGACATGATAGCTATGTCAGAAATCAGCACTTGAGCTTCAGTTAGCTATAATGAAATAACAGTCAGACCGATCTCAAAACTGCTAGATTTATAAAACAATAAAAATGACTTCTCTGGGTGTTTCTCTTGGTGTCCATTTACTAAAGAGATTAATGTTTACCTGTATTAGGAAAGAAATTGCTTTCCTGTCAGTTCCATGTTCCCTTTCATAGTCTTTCCCTCTGTCCTAGAGAGAGTATGGAGCTGAAGGATTGGATTTTGTTTATTCAAACCCATGACTTTCACATATTTGAGCAATTGTTTGTGCATTGTAGGACTCTCCCAGAACCTGTATGTAGTTACAGAGCCATTTACACAGCTTTTTGAGTAGTGACTGCACATAGTGGAATAAGCACATCCGTCTTTTATGGGAAGATTCGTGTTCAGTTTTCTCTGGGTTTGAGGTCTTCTGTGCTGCTCCATACTCAATTTCTCCAGCATTTCTCCAGTCTGTTCATTAATGGTTAGTGAGATAGATATAGCTGTAGAAGGATATAGATGATGGCAGGACAGAGGGGAATAATATAAATTACATTAATTTAATTTTCAATGATCACAGAACCTTCTGAAGAAACCCGTTATCTGCTCTGTGACTGCAGGTTCTCATGAGCTCTGCCTCAGCTTTAGTAGAAGTGAGAGAATTCCCGTTCCTGTTTCTCAGGTGGATGTAATGGCAACATCACTTAGAAGTCTTCTGACTCATATGAGTTCATATGAATGAAACCAGGAAGGATGAAGATGGGTTTACCTACAAATCTCTTTCATTTTAAAGCATTTTAGCTGCTGCTCCTTGCCAAAACACCTTACTGCACTGAAACTGAATTATCTTTTTAGTCAAAAATATTTGGCCAAGATTTTGACAGATTTTTGAAGAGGGTGACTCACATCAGTACTTTCTACAGTTAGTTTAGCAGCTATAGGGAAGCTGAACAGCTAGAATTGGTACTGGGATTGATATGGCATTTTTTCCAGCTCATACTGCAGAGAATTTTGAGCACTCCTTCTCTGTCACTTCTGAGTTTGTTCTTCCTAGTAAAAAACACTCACACATTCCCTTTGATACAAAAGCTGATTGTAAGGAGCAATCAATAAAACATGTTCAAAGCTGATTGATAGGGTGAGCACGTGGAAATGAGAGTAGGTTGATAAACTGTGAAGGGGGTAAGTAGAAGAGGGAGTGGTAGTTATGGAACCAGAACTCTGAGTCCGATACAGTGGAAAATGGTAAGCCAGAAAGGTGTCCAAAAAGGGTTTGATTATTTACATCAGAGCTCCAGGCTAGGAAGATAACAACCAGCTGTGTTTTGAGTTGGAGATGGAAACATTTCTGTCAAGGAGACTAGAACTGAAAGGATTGTTGTCAAGGTGGCAGATTATAATGGGGTTTATATGTTGCTATTGTGCTAGTTAATAAGACAAAAATCACACCAT